TCTTCTCACAGAAAGGGGGTCCTGGGCTAGAAGTATACCTATCTGCTTCCTTAAATATTGCTAGTCTAGGGGATATGACTGAGTTCTAACTAACTTCCAATTACTTTGTTATCTCTGGGGGAAAGGGAGACTCCAAAACTGATATCCAAAGCTTGACCTCTTTCCCACCAAATATGTTTCACAATGAACATACATAGCAAATAAACCCATTTATCCAAATCATAGCAAAACAGAAATCAGAAAAGGTATGCATAGGAGAATGTGAACCAGACAACACAAGGTGAAGGAGCTCTCCCTTTGGTTTTTTTTTTTTTTTTTGTTTGTTTTGTTTTGGGCAATTGGGGTTAAGTGACTTGCCCAGGGTTACACAGCTAGTAAGTGTCAAGCGTTTGGTCTGAGTCTGGATTTGAACTCAGGTACTCCTGACTTCAGGGCCGGTGCTCTATCCACTGTGCCATCTAGCTGCCCCCAAAAGCAGCTTCTTTGTTTTTTTTAAGGCGGTGAAGTGACTTGCCCAGGGTCACACAGCTAGTAAGTATCAAGTGTTTGGTCTGAGTCTGGATTTGAACTCAGGTCCTCCTGACTTCAGGGCCAGTGCTCTATCCACTGTGCCACCTAGCTGCCCCTAGGAGCTCTCCCTTTGGGAGAAAGATAACTCAGCTCAATCAAAGGTCTTCAATCTCCCCCCAAAGGGAAGCTCCCCAAAGTCTCTAGAGTAGCAAGGTAGATATGAAGACAAGATGGAAATTGCCAGTTTCTCTCATGTTTTCCTGGAGTTTTTCCCTTCAACAACCTAAAGTGAAATTGGCCTCTTCCATCTTCTTTCTTGAAGTTGAAAGCCAATTCAACTCTCAAAGAAGTTTTGAAGCTTGACCAGTCTCAAAGGGGGCTGGATCTGAAGAGTTCTGAAGGAGGACTAGAGAGTGCTGGTGGTCTCTCACCTCACCGGGCTTTCATCTGCATCAATAAAGAGAGTGTCTCATACCAATGGGCTTTGGGACAGGGGTTGCATTAACATGGTAGTGGGATATGGAATATATGCATAGTTTATACTTCATACTGGGAAGGTATTTCTCCTAAACCTACTCCTTTTAAAATCTCTTGCTCCCTTTAAGATTCAACTCATGGGCTACTTTTTATATGGAGCCTTTCTGAATCATCCAGGTTGTAAGTTCTCTCACCTTCCTCAAATTAACATGCTTATGTTCACCTTTGGCCCAGCCTCACAAACACCAATTGTCCCAACTTCACCTTCATCTCTCCATGCAGGTGTATTTCACTGAGGCCAATATAAAGCAGGAGGATATTGCAATTTAGAGTGGGACCTTGGGATCCTGGCCACCCACACCCTCACCCTCCAGGTGTTGAAGCCGGGCATGGTCCCAGTGTATACTAAGGATGGCACAACCACCAAATATTCCATGAGCAGTGGCTCTATCAAAGTATATGCTGTTTCCTCTGTACAGCTGCTAGCAAAGAAGCTGTGTCCCTGGAATGCCGGACATAATGGTTGCTAAATTCAACTTGGAAAAGGCCCTCTCAGACCTTTAAGGAGCATCAGAAGAAGCATATTGGGCTGAGGTTCAGATCAAATTGAAGCCTTTTAAGTCAAGGTGAGTGTTGAGCTGAACCTTTGAAATCATCCCCAAACTAGTGCTATCAGTATGCTCCACAGAGTTACTTTGAACCAGTTGGTGCAGAAAAATGCCCAGGAAGGAGAACATAAGCCCTCTAAGCCCTCTGTTCCCCCCCCCCCATCTCTATGATTGGTTAGAACCAGAAAGGTCCTCAAAACCCCAACCATGTGTATATACCCATCCTCAGGTCTCCATTTCCCAGTTACCAACATATACCTCTTCTTTCATGGGGGTACTCTTCAGTGTGACCTTACTTAATCTTAGAGTTAGGTTGAGACCTCTCCCTTTCAATCTCCTCAGTCTCAATCTTCACTTCTACTTGTCCCATTCTCCAGAAGCCCCTCTTCCTGCTAAGAGACTGAAGGAGTCAGCATGCTTGAAAAGTAGCCTGGTGTGTGATCCCAGGCAAGTGATGTAAATTCTCAGCTTGTTTATTCATTTGTAAAATGAAAAGGTTGGACAGGATGACTTCTAAGGTCCTTTTCAGCTTTAAATATGTGACCCTATACTTATCTGTTTATATTTTACTTCTTCCCAGAAAAAACATAAGCTCCTCAAGTGCAGGGAGTGTTTTTCATTTTTCTTTTTATTAGTGCAAGGTAACCTTTTATTGTGTCATGGACCCCTTTGGCAGTCTGATGAAGCTTACAGACCCCTTTTCAGAATAATGTGTATAATACTTTTAAAAGAAGACTTTCTTAAATCACTAATTTTTTTGGGGGGGGGAGGCTAGGCAATGGAGTTAAGTGACTTGCTTAGGGTCACACAGCTAGTAAGTGTTATGTGTCTGAATTCGAACTCAGGTCCTCCTGACTCCAAGTCTACTGCTCTATCCACTGCGCCACCTAGCTGCCCCAAAAGTAGCCTTTCTTAATCATCTTTAATATTAGTGTGCTCTCTAATACATATTGTAGAGATCTTGCTTATACATACTTGTTTGCATGTTGTGTCCCCATTAGACTATGAGCATTTTGAGATTAAGAATTATTTTTTGGTTTTCTTTGTCTCCCTAGTGCTTAGGACTCAGTAGCTGGAATATAGCAGACACTAAATGCTTATTGACTTCCTGCATAAATGATAATACATAGGCTTACAAAAATTTTATTTTAAAAATTTTATTACTATAATATATAAAATTACAAAAAAGTATATATTAAAATACAATTATCAAAATGTTTTTAAAATTTGTGATATAGTTCTATATCTAGCAGCAGGTCTAAGAACTGCTATATAAAACAATCATATTATGATCACATATAGCTATATTACATATAAACTATCTTACATATATAACACAATTACTATATAACAGTAATTACAAAGTGGTGATGAGTATAAGTGATATTTTAAGATATCTGCAACAACTGTCATGTAATATGAAAATATCTGATTTCTGTTGGTGATAAAGTCACAGGTACTGCTAATTTACTATCTTCACTGGCTACATTCATAATCGAAGGAAATGTTAAATATCTGCTACAGGTTAGTGAAAATAAAGATGTGATTTTTTTTTCCCATCTAAGTTCATGGGTCCCCTGAAATATACAGCAGACTCTATGTTAAGAACTCTTAGTGCCTAGCACAATGTTTTACACTTATTAGGTACTTAAATGCTTATTGGATTGGATTGCATTAGACTTACTGTAACAATCCTCAAGTACATAAAAAGTTATCTTGAGGAAGATTGACTAATATTTCTTGGGTTTACAATGGCTCAACAAACTAGAATTCAATCTGTGTAATCCTGTCAGCAACTGTTTGGATACATTAGTTGATACTGTGGAATTACTAGGATTATCTCCCACTATTTAGTCTGGTCCAGGCTTGACCTGAGTAATTTTTGACAGGGAAACATTACAAGCACCAAATATATGCTCATGAGTTAATCAACTCATTCAGTGAGGCAAAAGGTTAGGGAAGCTGGTATGTTGCAGCCGAGCTATGGCCCACTTTGTCCCTGAGAAATCTGGCAGTAATTATCATCCCAGCATGTCCTTCAGCAAAGAAAGCATTTCTTCTTATCTCCTACATATATCAGGCAATGTCCTCTGTGCCCTATTCACGTGCAAGTGGATCATACTCCAAGAGGGCTTACTACTATTCGTTTTTTGGGCATCTTAAGATTCTTTGAAACATCAGATATCTTTGGCCTTTTCTTCTCTCTCACTCTTTGCATCCAATCATTTTTTTTTTTTTAATGCTATTAAACTCCGTTTCCAGTCTCCAATCCCTGTTCTCCTTTCCATTCACAGGCCCTCATTACCCCTTATCTGGACCATTGCAATAGCATCCTTCCTACCTCCTATCTTTCTCCTAAGTTATCTGCGGCAGAAAAATCATGTTAAATGAGAGATGCTGTAAGATGTGAGCTCTTTTAAGGCACATTTGCTGATGCCAGTTTTAAAGATCAGTTTTTTACTGTTTAGTTTCCTCTTTAGGGACTCAATATGTAAAATACATTTTGAATGACTAAAACCACGACTTCCCTGAAAAACATTTATCTTCACGCATTCATCTGCACGTAGCTTTTGAAATTCAGATTAGATGGACAGTGTCTATGGACATTAGATGGACAACATAAGGTAGAATGTAAGCAGGGGTCAGTAGAGAGCTCATTATAATTGTTATGAACGAACAATTATAAAGTGCCTTCAATATACTTGTCTAAACTATGGGGTCTCAATTCAAACCAACCCCGAAACCCCCCCCCAAGTTTAGATGCTTTTTTTTTTTAAGAGGAAGTCAGGGAAAGTGATACCCTAGATAAGGGGCTGTGTAGTCTAGCAGCTGTAGGGTGGGCTAGATAACTTTGCAGAATCTTTCCTAGTCCAAGGGCTTAAAGATTCAACTTGGGCCACCAGTGCAACACAGAACTCGCCCTTCTTCCACACCTGGAGCTCACCGGAACAGGTAAGCCCGGGATGGCGCGCCACGTGTCGAAATGAATGAGTTAGGGAATGAGCGACTTTCAGAGCGAAAGACTTTTCCAGGACTGGCGTTCCTGGCCAGGGCTGGGAGAGAGGGGGCTGAGTGAGAGGTCCTTAAAGAGCAGACTACCCCGTGCCGTGGCCGGAGAAGGTGCAGGCTGGGCGGGGAGAGAGCCGGCCGGCCGGCCCGGGGAGGAGTGAGAGTCAAGGAGGGGTGGGGGGAGAGGCGGGGCCCGGCTTCCTTCGTCACTTGATAAAACGCCTGCGAGTCTCCAGAGAACAACGGGCTCTTTCAGCTGTTCCAGAGCGGGCTGCGAGGGGGAGAGGCTGGACAGGGAGTACGGCTAGTCCCGGGGGGGTGGGGCAGGGCAGCTGAGCCAAGGAAGGAGAAGGGAAGGTGGTAGTGTTGGCAGCAGCAGCAGCAGCAGCAGCGACGGCAGAAGCAGCAGAGGCGGCGGCGGTGGCAGCAGCAGCAACAGCAGCAGGTCCCTTTCTCCTTTCCCTTCCCCGCCCCGCCGTAATTGCCGATGGCGGCTGCAGGGCAGCCGAAGCTCCTCTTCTACCTGTCGGCGTGCCTGCTACTCTGTTTCTGTGCCGCCTTTAACTTGGACACCCGGGAGGAAAACGTGATCCGCAAGACCGGGGAGCCCGAGAGTCTCTTCGGATTCTCCCTGGCCATGCACTGGCAGCTGCAGCCGCAGGACAAGAGGCTGTAAGTTCTCAGCCCGCCGCGTCCTTTCTTCCCCCCCCCCCCCCACCCCGCCCTTACCCCTCAGCCCTCACCACCGTCCCTCCCAGCCCTGCCCTGCCGTACCCTCCCTTCCCCTCCCCTCTCTCCGCCTCTGCCTGCGAGAGCCCTGGAGGCAGCTCTTTTGAGAAGAGCCCGAGCACGTCCACACCCCTGCGCGGACGCTCTTCTTCTCCTCGCCCCACCCGTAGCAGCTCTGCCCTGCGGCCAAGCCGGTCTGTCCTAGGTCTGTCCCTGGCCGGGGCTGGCGACCTGGGAGGGTGCGGAGGGGGCGGAGGGGGAGAGGCACTAGCCAGTGCTGAACGTGCTGCCCGTGGCTCCGGGATCCCAGCGCCTGATTCATCCTTTTCCGCACAGACTCCCATCCTCTGGGGCGGCGGCGGACGATGAAGGGGAAGGGAGCACACCCTGCTTGGCTGCCTCCCGGGCAAGTGCCCAGGCGGCGACAGCGGCAGCGTTTCTCTGATTTCCAGCTTTCACCCTCACCCCCACCCCCACTCTATCCCCACTGCCCCCCGGCAGAGTTTATTTCACTCTTGAGTATTCTTTTAGGGAACCTGGCAGGTGGCGGCTTTTCAGAGGTCCACTTTTGTGTGTATGTGTATGTGTGCATGGAGAGAAAGTTGTATCACAGAAATCCGAGTCTCCCACTCAGAGCTCCACCTTTGTGTATGTGTGCGTGAGTGTGTGTACGTGTACACAGGGAGAGAGTTGTATCAGAGATCCGGGTCTCCTTCTTAAGAGGTCCACGTTTGCATATGTGTATGTGCATGAGTGTATATGTGTGTGAGTGTGTGCGCGCGCGCGCACGGGGAGAAAGTTGTAACAAAACCGGGTTTCCCTCTCAGAGGTTCACCTTTGCATATGTGTGTGCGCGCGCAGGGAAAAAGTTGTATCAGAGAGCGCTGCGGGCCTCCCTCTTAGAAGTGTGTGTGTGTGGGTGTGTGTGAGTGAGTATGCGTGCGCTTCGGGAGCAAGTTGTACCCTAGAGCCCCGGCTCTCCCTCTGAACTGATGATTTGGGAGCCACTTATGGCAGAGACGATTTTGCAAGTCCGTTTTTATTGTGTTTCCTGTGGTTTACCCTAAGGCGCGTTCGACTCTTGTGAGGAGCAGATGGTACTTTCCTGTGATAGCAGAATGAAGTCTTTAAAAACATTTTTTTAAAAGGTGGAGTTAACCAGCCACCTGTTAACAGAAATAGATCAGCTGAGAAAACAAGCTGCAAAACTGGGCTGTGGGTCCCCTTCCTCCCTGCCCACCGCACGCAACTACTGCGGACCCCGCCAAAGCCTGGAGCCCCGGTTCCTTTTAACTGGTCTCCCCGCCCACCCAAGAGGTTAAAGCAAAAGTCCGATCCGGGATCAGTCTCTTGGAAATAAAGTATGGAAAAGTGACATGCCTCCTCCCCCCATCACTGTCTCCAGCCAAGCCTAGGGAAAAGTGGTAGCTTAGTTGGCTCAGCCTGTCGTCTCTTTCTAAGAAAACTTCACAAAGTTTTGCTTCCCACACGGTCCAGCTTATTAGAAACCAGTGTGAGGCGGTGTTTTTTTTTTTGTTCTGTTTTGTTTTGTTTTTTGAGAATATAGTGCTGGAGGGGACGAAAAAAATATTTTTTGGAGCTTGGTAATTGCGGTCTTGTTGAGTTCTTGATCTGGGCTTGGGGGGTGGGGGAAGAAAAAGAAAGAAACAACAAAAGGGTTACCTCCCCCCACCCTCCACTCCTCCACTCCCCCTCTCCCCCTCTCCCCCTCTCCCCCACTCCCAAGGCTTTTAGTTGAGTTGAAGCCATTTCAGAATCAACAGACCAAAGAAAACAATGCAGTTTCCAGGACAGAACTTTTCAGCATGGGAAAGGTACATAGAGGCATAGCCGTTTTAGGGAAGGAAGGAGGAACTTAATGACTAAAGTTGAGAAACTTGGGGTTTTCAAATACTCGTTGGGGAGTGATTCTTAAAGAGGCTGCTCAGATACACCTGTTAGAGGAGCAGAGCATTTTAACTTAGTAGACAGTTTGAGGGATCAGGACATCATGGCACTGTTGAACTCCTGTAGAACTTCCTGGTTAAGTTTCAAATCTGAACTAAAAAAATACAATTTGACCTAGCTGGTTCACCTTGTAGAGCTCTGTGCCTCCAAAGCGCATGATTATGTAAAAATGTTGGTCTGTGTGTAGATTTGGAACCTTAATGGTCAAAGCTAGTCACAGGCCTGCCTGCATAGTAAATAATGTTTTGATGACCTTTTTTTCCCTGCAAAATTCCTGGCAAATTTGATGTCTCACTTAAAAATTATCAATCAAGACAAAATTGTAAACAAGGATTTCCTAAATTTACTTTCTGAAATTTGGTAGTTAAATCAGTTAATCATTCATTAGTCTCTGATATCTCCTTTTTCATTGTATGTCCTGAACCATTAGAGAATTCTCTTCAACACATATTTAATAAGTGGCCGCTTAGGGCGAGGCAGTGTTTGAGATACTTGGGAAATTGAGACAAAACCAAAATCAGTTACTGCTCTCTAGGAACTTAGTCTGTGATGTGTACACAAATAAATGTGATGCAAAGTAGAATGATAAGAGCAAAGGACAGACTGGACAAAGTATTGTAGGGAAATTTGGAGAGAGAGAGAGAGAGAGAGAGAGAGAGAGAGAGAGAGAGAGAGAGATTCTCCATTGAGGGAATCAAGAAAGGTTTTTATGGAGGCTGTGGTGTCTGAGCTAGGCCTTGAAAAAGTTATAGATGAGAAACAAGTGCCTTCCAAATATGGAGAGAGAGACCCCGGGAAATATTGAGAGTGCAGAGGGCAAGCTGAGATGGGAAAGAGCTAGTAACAGAGAATGAGAGACTGAATTTGGGCAGTGGGAGTATTAAGTGGAGACCATTTATAAAGTAAGAGAGATTGTGAAGGTAGAATCAACAGAACTTGACATTCAGTTGGGTGAGGGAGGGGTAAAAGAGGAGAAAAAAAGATGATTCTGAGGTTTTGAACCTGCCATCAAAAGAAATTATAAAATCAAAGGGGCAGATCAGAGTGGAACATCATGCATTTAGTTCACTTGGGTACATGCTGAGTATGAGGGGCTAGTGGTATTTAGAAATGGACATGTGTGGCAGGCAGTCACTGATAGGACTGGAAATCTAAATGATTGATCCAGCCTAGAAAGGGTCTAGGATGGAGATTTAGGGATTAGCCATATTTGGGGAGCAGGCAAAGGACTCTTAAGAGGTAAGCAGGACCAAGCAAGATGGGAATATCCAGAAGTAGGGGATGGTCAACAAGGTGAAATGCTTGTAGGGAAAGTCAAAAAGGATCTGAGATTCTTTGACTTGTTTCAGATTCTGTATAGTTTTAAAAAACATGAAGTACTAGTGTTATAATCAAGTGAAAAGCATGAAGTGTCTACAAATGTTCTTAGAGGCTGACCTGAAAGTCTTAGAAGGTGAGGAAGTGTCTAGTTCTTAGAATCCCTAAAAAGGACTTAGAATCCTCTTAGGAAAAATACTCTTTTACCTTCAGATATAGTAGAATTTCAACACAGTAGGATTTCAAGATTTGGAAGTTTATCCATTTTATTTTGTTAATTTAGTAAAAAATTCACACTTTTATTTTACAGTAGTCCTACAAAATTATCAATTACTTCTAATGGGGGGAAGGAGGGGTGATCACTCAGGGATACTCAGCCATCTTTAGTTCAAGGCCAAGCTGCTTGGGCTTAAAAGCTGCTTGCATTGCTATATCTAGAAGTAATTTTTGGGGAGCATTTTTATTCTGCAGATAATAAACTATTGTTAGGGTCAGCATGACAAAAGTAACCAGAGGACTAGCGTGAAGTGAACGGTCATGGGAGCAGCCAAAGGAAATGCACCTGTGACATAGAGCAAGCCCATTATACTGTGATAGTGAGAGGCTATCCAGTAGGATGTAAACCAAAGTGAAAATGTATTGACCAAATTTTAAAAGCAGGGTTCAAACAGGTAGTGTTTGAATTATCATAAATTCCAAATGTTGAACAAGTGTGCATGTAAAAAGAAAAAGACCTGATTTTTAGTTAAAGCTTTATATTTAAATTAATTAAATTAAATTCTATTTAGGATTATATTGAGAAGTGCTCCATTTCCAAAAGTGCTTCACTAGTGGTGAAGACAAAATCCTGATGGGACCAGGTGGTAACTATGGAGTCTGATTGTTGGGAGTCTTTTTGCTGTATTATAATTTAAAAAATGAGTTTTTCCAGATTAGTGTTTTAGGTTCTTAATTCCTCATCTTCTTGCCAACTCCTTAGACAATATGTAGGTAGAGGTATAAACTTTCTCATTCTGAATATTACAGTGAAAGCTTTGTTGGCACTCTTTAGATTAATGTTGTAGGATCCGTGGATTCTGTTTTGGAATTTCTAGGTTGATGAAAATTTCTATGCCATTTCCATCCCAAACTCAGACTTGATCTTCTTATGTTGTACTTTACACTTTGTCCTTTTTAAAATTAAGGTCTATAAGAATGGAAAATTCAAAGAGTGTTTGACTTTAGCTTAGTGGTGTAGCATATAAACTTGGAGTAAAGAAGACCTGATTTTGAATTCCTTTCTCAGCCACTTATTAGCTGTATGACTCTCCTCAGCCTCAGTTTCCTCATCTCTAAAATAAGGATAATAATCAATAGTGCCTACCTGACAGGATTGTGGCCAGGATCTAATGAGATAATACGTGTAAAGACATTTTGCAAATCATAAACCATTTTATAAATGTTAACTTCTAATGTTGTCATAAGTCAGCTATCACCCTTTCACTAGAAAGAAAAGCAGAAGGTGAGGAGAAGAGGTGTGGGGAAGGAAAAAAAGGAGGCGTGAGACATGGATTTAACCATCTAGACCTGGAAGGGATTTCAGAGATATGCATCAACTCCCATAATTTTATAGATATTGAAACTGAAGCTCTGACAAATTATTTGCCCAATATTACCCA